GACTGACGAGTTTGGTTGTTGGAACAATTTATAGGAAAAAGGATTTTGTTCAACATCGGAGACTAATTAATTCCAAAAAATCATTTAAACATGACAAAAGATTTAAACGATCGTCATTCTAATGTTTCTTTATATATATAGTTAGATTTAATACTGTCATTGTTCAGACAACAACGCCCGACGGTGGCGACGTCAAGTGGTAAAAAAGGGTAAACTAAAAACGATAGTAAAACACCTTATCGTTGAATCCACCCCCTTCCCCCTTCATTCCCATTCCCATTTTTATATCATTCCCATCTTTTGTTCTCAAACCTTTTAATCTCATTTAAATTTGGCGGGGAAAATGGCGGGAAAAGAAGAAAAAGAAGAAAAAACGGGGGGCTGAGAGAAAGAGAGGAAGGGAGGGAGGCGTTTTAAAAAAGTTTTGAGTTTTCCAGTTTTACCTTTTTTTTTTCATCGAATAAATGAACAAAAAAAAAAAGGAAAAAAATTTTTTTTTTTATACAGGAAATATTTGTGTATTCCAAGTTTTTCTCGTGATTTTTTTTTTTATTATCATTATCATTTCTCTCTCTCTCTCTCTTTCTCTTCTCCCTGTTTTTATTCATCCCTAAACCCAACTCTTAAAAAAAATTTCTTTTTTTTTTTTTTTTGTTCTCCGGTTGAGCTTTTTAAAATCCGCTAATACAATTTATGAAAATTAAAAAAAGTAAAAAAATTACGGCCGTAATTTTTTCAGGGAAAAGTTTTTCCTTTTTTTCCTTTTTTCCTTTTTTTTTTTATATTGCAATTTACCAATTATTTTTTTTTTATATTTTTTATGTAAAAAAAAAGTTTTTCGTTATTATTGTAAAAAAACAGAAAAGTTTTTAATGCGAAAGAGTCAAACTTCAAAACGCGACCTAAATTTTTCCTTTTTTTCCTTTTTTTTTCCTTTTTCTTTTTTCCTTTTTTTTTCTTTTTAAATAAATAAAAAATATTTTAAAATATCACACGAACGACAAAATGAACACCAAGACAAAAAAATAAAAAAGTTGTTTAAAGAAAAAAAAAAAGAAGAAAAATGTCGCAAATGTAACATAATGGCGAAAAATATAATATAATATAATATAATATAATATATATATAAAACGAAAGAAAATTTTTCTCTTTGACCTTTTTTTAAAATATCTTCTGCTAAATCTCATCTGATTATTCTCTTTTCCGCCATTTTCCTTTTTTTTTAAAAAAATCTTATCTCTCTGTTAAAAAAAATTTTTTTTTTCCCTTCTTCTTTTTCTTCTTTTTTTTCCTTTGATGTTATCAAAGTTTAACAATAATAATAATAATAATATTATTTTGATATTTTATAAATAAAAGTAAAATTTAACCTTTGAACTTGACCGATTAAATTTATTCATAATGATAATGATAATACGAGAAGTAATTATTTACCTGGTAAAAAAAAAAAGAAAATTTTTTGTTTTTCAAACGAATAAATCATCGAGGTAATAATGATAATAATAATAAGAAGAAAACCGACGACAAAAGGAAAATTAAATAATAATAATAATAATAATAATAGAAAATTGTAAATAAAACGTTTTGGAATTTATCCAAAAAAAAAAAAAAACCGGAAATATATCGGTAAAAAGGAAAAATGAAAAAATTTTCCCTGCCAAAAAATTTTCTTTTTTTAAAAAAAAAAAAAAAATATTTTTTATGCCAAAAAAATTTTTATAAAGTTTTTCCTTTGACCTTTTTTTTTCCTTTGTTTCCTTTTAAAATCTTTCTCTCTCTCTCACTCATTTTCACCTTAGTGATAACGATAAGAGAAAGGAAATTCGTAACAGAAAAGATGCTTTAAAGAAAATTTTTTTTTTTTTTTTTTCGTTTAAATAAAATCTTCGGGGTTATTTAATTTAATTCAATTGAATTTTATTCTCGTGCCACGTAGAAATTTATCAATTTTTTTTTTTTAGTGATAACGTTGAAAACGCCCAATCGCATATTTTTTTTTTAAAGAAAACGAAAAGACTTTTTTCTCCCACGTTCACGTTTTAAATTAATTTAATCGGGTGATGTGTAAATAAGTAATAATCATTATTATTATCATCATGGTAGATGCTGTCGTGTGGTGACGTCATTAATTATTTAATTATAAACCTCGCACGTACGTTGAAAAAGGCGGGAACAGGATATAACAATCGAACGTGGAAAAAAAAATAATTATCATCATCGTCGTCGTCTACGTCACCATCGTCACCACCGTCACCATCACCACCACCATCATTATTATTATTATTATCGTTTATTAATAAGTGGATTTAATGCCATCAATTATTTCCATTCGTTGGTTTTTGACTTGAAAAACCAAAAAAAAAAAAAAAAAAAAAACGAAAAAGTCGAAGGTGATTTATATTGTCCGCCATTGAAAATGTTTTTAAATTTTTTTTTTTTTTTGCGGTTTTAACGATTGCCTGATTTTTTTTTTTTTTATATAACAACCCGTGCGTCGTATAATAATTCACATTTTATTTATTGTTTTTTATTCATTTAAACCGCCACTTTTAATTACCCTCCCACTTATTTCTGTCTATCTCTCTCTCTATCATTTATATAAAAATTTTTCTCTTTTCTTTTACGTAATAATAATAATAATAATAATAAAAGTGAAAAATTAATTTTTTTTCATAGAATTCTCTCGCGACTTTGTATATTTTAATTAACGTTTTTTTTCGCGCGTAAATAAAAAACGTTTGTTCCCTTGTTTGTTTGTTACCCGTCCGTGAAGGTCCCATCCCCTTCTCACCCTCCACCCTACCCCTTAACAATTTTAAGGATGATTAATAAATATTTATTATTATTAACAAGGTCGAATCATTTGTTGATTGCAAGAATTATTTGCGACCGCTAAAATTTATGTAACCGTAAATTCAAGGTTTCGTAATTATTTTTTTTTATTTATCCTAAATATCAATATTAATAATAATAATAATAATGATAATGATAATGATAATGGTGATAATAATGATAATTTAAATCGTTTTTTCATTTGATGACGTATTCAAAACTCAAGCGACGGAAAAATTTTTTTTTGGAGGGATTTTTTTGTGAATCTTTACGCAGCGTTAAAAAAATAATAAAATACTCGAAATATGAAAAAACTAACAAATAACTAAATAAACAAACAACTGATCAAACAAACAACCAAACAAACAAACAAAACAAACAAAAAAAATAAGAAATCATTTCTAAAAAATTTTCCTGTTGGGCTTACTAAAAAAATTTTTTTTTTATAAATAGCTAATTAATTATTATTAATTGTTTGTCGTTTGTATTTCTCGTTTGTTTTTCACGTTTCCGGTTCCGGTTTGTTTTTGTTTATGATTTACGATTAATTTATTAACCCACTCAAAAAAAAATAAGAAAGGAAAAAACAAAAAAACGAAAAATTTTCTAATTAAAAAAAATAATAATAATAATTTTATTTTATCGGTTGTTGTTGTTGTTGCGGTTGTTGCGATCGCTTTATAAAAAATAAATAGTTTTATATGGACTATAAAATCATTCGTTTATCATATAAATAAATAAATAAATAAAATATTTTTCTTAAAAAAAAAAATGGTTTCCGTTTGTTTAGTTTCATTCACATTAATAATTATTTTATTTTTTAATATAAAATTTTTTCCTTTTTTTTAAACCTTTTTCATATTCTTTTTTTTCCTTTTTTTTGTTATAATAAATCTTTTTCCGTCGTGGTTTTAGTCATATACTCTATAACAAACAGACACACAATTTTATTATTATTATTATTTTTTTTTTTAACAAAACAATATTTGATATTGAATTTTCTTTTTTCCGACCGCATATGTATAAGTTATGAAAGAAAAGATTAACAAAAAAAAAGGAATGAAAAAAAGGTAAAAAAAGGAAAAAAGGAAAAAGGAAAAGGAAAATGTATAAAAAATAATAAATCATAAAAAAATAGAAAAAAAAAAAGAATAATGAATCCCTCATGTTTTTTTTTCTTTGACTTATTATTATTATTATTATATTTTCATCATTTTTTTTTCTATTATTTTAAAAAAGTCATCATCATCATCATCATCATCATCATCATCTTTTTTCTTGTTTCTTCATCATTTCTTTTTTTTTCTTTTCCAGATGTATCATTTCCTCTCACTTTCTCTCTCTCATCAATCTTTTTCTCTTCATCTTTATTTTCATTCATTCATTCATTCATTCATTCATTCATGAATTTTTCTTTTCTCTTTCTCTCTCACTTCAACAGCACGTTTTTTTTTCAGTCGATTACTTTCAATTCATCGCCATTTTTTTTTTTTTATGATAGTCTATTATAAATTTATGAAAATGATGATTTAAATTATTATTATTTTATTTTGAAATTCCAGGAACAGCAGAAGAAATGAATTTTTTTTAAAATACGAAATCATTTTGATTTGTTTGTTTATGTAAAAAAAAAAAAAAAATTTTCTCAAGCATAAACAAAAAGAAAAAAGAAAAATCGATAATTTATGCTCGGAAAATTTTTTAATCTTGACATTGACAATGACAATCAACAACCGAGGAAAAAAAAAAAAAAAAACTTTTAAGAAACAAAAGAGGGAGAGGTGGGGGAGGGGGTGAGGGGAGGGAGGGAGGAAGTTCCCAATGCCCCCCCTCTTAAAAAAAAAAATTTTCCACAACATTTCACACGGATCGAAAAAAATATGAGTCAGAAAATTTTAAGTTTTTAGGTATATAAATATGAAAAATTCAAATCTTGGATTATCATTCAATTGATTCCAGTCAATCAATTCCAGGTATGGAGAGTGATAAATAATAATAATAATAATTTATTTTTGATTTTGAATTTTTCGGTATATAGGAGGAGGGGTAACGAAGAAGAGGAAAATTTAAAAAAAAATTTTTTTAGAAATCGTTTATATAAAATTTGTTTTTAACAAGTGATTGATTGATTGATTGATTGATTTGTTTCTTTTTTTTACAGTTTAAAAATGTTTGTCGAATATATTTGTTCTATCGGACTTTTGTTGGTGGTTTCCGCTAGTGGAGCCGCCATATCCGATTTATCTGTCGCATCAACTAAATTTGGACCTCATTATCATCAACATGGCGGACTTCAACATTTTGTAACTCCTGTCGAAGGTTTTGTTTCTCCTGTTATTGAACAAGGTGTTCATATTGCACCTGAATCTCTTGCTTACGGTTCTGGTAAATTATTATTATTATTATTATTTTTTTGTGTTTGATGGTGATGTTAATAAATTTATTATAAAATTTTTATTTATAAAAAAAAAAAAAAAGGTGTAGGAGCCGGAGTTGGAGTTGGACACGGAGTCGGAATCGGTAGCCACGGTGTCGCAATTGAATCTGTTGGAGGTGCTGGTTATGGAGTCGGTGCTGGACTCGGTGCTGGACTCGGTGCTGGAGTTGGAACCGTTGGACTCGGTGCCGGTGTTGGTGCCGCTGGACTTGGTGCCAGAGTTGGAGCTGCTGGACTCGGTGCTAGAGTTGGTGCTGTTGGACTTGGTGCCGGTGTTGGAGCCGCTGGACTCGGTGCCGGCGTTGGAGCCGTCGGAGTTGGTGCCGCTGGACTCGGTGCCGGAGTCGGAACCGGATACACTGTTGTAGCTCAACCAGTTGTCGCCGCCGCTGGTGTTCCTCTCGTCGGTGGAGGATACCGTGGAGGATATAACGGAGGATACCAAAGTTCTGGACTCAACGAAGGAGCTTTGGCTTTAGGTAAACAAAATTTTTTTTTTTGCCAAAAAAATTAGTTCGAAAAAAAAAACTCAAACGTTCATTTTGGGTAACAGGAAACAAAGGAGAACATTTGTACAGAGAAGCCGTTGATGGAGAATTTAAAGATGGTTCTTATCAACGTAACGGAGGACATAAAAATGGTGGATATCACGGTGTAGAAACTTACAACGACAACAAACATCATTTAGCTGATGATCATTCTGATCAAATTGTTTACAGTGGTGCCAACGGATTAAAATCCAATCAAGGTAAATTTAAATTTTTCAAAAAAAAAAAAAAAAGAAAAGCGGAAATCAATAAAAAAAAAAAACGATTTTTAAACAGGAAGTGGAGAACTTTACGACAAAAATACCGGATACGCTGTCAACTCATACAACGCACTCGGTGACGAACAACTTAAAGGTTATCAAAAGGGACACAAAAAAACCGGTTTCAAAAAATCTTATCACAAGGATGAATCCGGAAATGACGAAACTTTTTACGACTCCGACCACGACGAAGGTAAATACCAATTTTTTTCGAATAAAATTCAAATTTGAAAATAAATGATTAATTTTAACGGTTTTTAAAAACAACAGGAAACTACGAATTCGGTAAAAAATATGGAGACAATTACGGTACAAATTATTTAGGAGGATTATCCGGTAATAAAAAATTCAACGAATATTCCGTCGGACAAGATGGCAGACACGGACACGTTGAAAATGGTAAACTCGTTGCTCAAAATCGCGGAGTGAAAGATTATTACAACAATAACGGTCACTACAACGATGCCAAACACTATGGCGGCTCTGGAGGATATCAAAGTTCAGAAACTGCCAAACTCGGTCTCAATCACGGATTTCAAAACGGTTACAATAACGGAAAACGTTTGACCGGATATGAAAATTCTAAAATCGGAACCGGATTCCAATTGCCATACGTTTATTAAAAACTACTTTCGCCCTCGTCATGGATATCGATAAACCGGATATGATTATTATTATTACTATTACATTTATTAAAAATTTTATTTATGGTTGATTAAAAATAAATAAATTTTATTACGTTTACGAAAAAATTTTTATTTTTTCTTTCGGGGGATTATCCGATGAAAATCATTCAGTCATTCATTCATTCATTCATTTGAGAACCCATTTGAGAATCCATTTGAGAATCCATCAACGCTAGAGTCTTTTTTTTTGGAGTTGAAATATTTACGATATTTCAACTCCAAAAAAAACTTGTTTTTCTCCATATATTAACGAGGTTAATATAAAATGTCGGTGATAAAAAAGTGAACGTGATGATGATGATAAAGATGATACGTGGAAGCAGACAGACGAATAAAATAAATTTAAAAAAAAAAAAAAATCAGGAAAAGGAATTTAAAAGAAGAAGAAGAAGAAGAAGAAGAAGAAGAAAGTTGTAAGGTCGGAATGAATGTGAGGGTAAAAAAGGATTTTGATGGGGACCTTCGGTTAAATTGGGGAGGATTAACCGGGGCAAAACTTGCTCAATCGATCCGAATTTTCTATTAATTCCACTGGCCAAAATCTTCTGACACGCTCACACACATACACACACAAGCAAATGATACTTTTTTTTATTATTTTTCTTTTTTTTTTTTTTTTTTTTGTAATTAAAACAAACGACGACGATGACGACAATACGTGACGTCGTGTCAATTAACGCAAACTCAATGATGGATCGACAAAAAAAATTATTATTATTATTATTTGTTTCTCTGTCGCTATTTTGTCAAAAAAAAAGGGAAAATTCAAACAATCCGACGACGACGACAACGACGACAATTTTTTTTCCCATCCCTTAAAAAATTTCTGGAATAAGAATCGAGTCCAGACGTTGACCTACTTATAAATTTAATTTTTTCACTTTCTTTTCATCTCCACCCCCGCCACCGTCATCGCCATTACACCCCGTCACACACACCACCTCCTCTACTCCCCCCCCAATGACTTTTTCCCACTAATTATTCCCCCCTCCAGGTAATACAAAAGGGAAAAACAATTTTTTGTAAAGCATTTTTTCCAGTTTTATAAATTTTCCTGTTCTTAATTTTTCTTTTCAATCCTTTACATTTCCGTTACATTTTTATTTAACCTTTTAACCTTTTAACCAACTCATTTAAATCATTAACGACCTTTAAATAATAATAATAATAAATGACGTCACGATTAAACGTTTAAAAAAAATTTATTTCTTATCAACATCGATTAGAGATGGAAAAATCTGGAAAACAAAAAAAAAAAAAAAAACTTTTATTAAACACGTGATTATATTTACATCCACAACTAACAAACTTTGTTTGTTGTTTGTTGTTGTTGTTGTTTGTTCGACACGAGATCACAGCCTTTTTTTAAAAAGAAAAGAAAAGAAAAAAAAAATTTTTTTTGTTGTTTCGTGCTACCAACGAAACGAAAAAAAAAAAAAATCTTCTGCTTTATAATGAAAGAAAAAAGAACTTTATTATTATTATTATTATTTAACATTCATCACGCGCACACGTGCACATCGCAATGTTTACAAACAACATTCAAGTGATTTAAGAAAAAAATTTAATTTTTTAATAAATAAATAATAATAATAATAATAATAAAAGTTAGTTGTATATTAATTAAAATAAATAAATTAATTATTATTATTTTAAGAAGAGCGTTATCAACGTCGTTCTTATCAATTTAAAAAAAAAAAAAATTTCATTTTATATAAATAAAATTTAAAAAAAAATTTGTAAAATTTTCAAAATGGCGGACATTCGTGTAAACATTTAGTCTCACGCGGCGTGTGTGTGTGTGCGTTTGTGATGTGACGAAAACTTTTATTTTATTTTTTTTTTTCCAGTTTTCCAGTTTTTTTTGTTGGGGGTAAATAAGTGAATACGAATAATAAATCCCTTTCTTCCCGTAGGATTAACAACTTGGAAAAAAAATAAAAGGAAGAAAATAATAATAAAAATAATAAAATGAACGTTAATTGTGGAAACGACGGTTGTTTAAAGAAAAAAAAATTAATCGTCGATACCGGAAGTCATCAACATGGAAAAGGAAATACCAGGTATGGGATCTTCACGGAAATGATTATTGATAACAACAACTGATAAGGGAAAATTCTTATCGATCCTTTTTTTTAGAAATAAATTCGATTTGTTATCGGAAAGTAGCAGCTTATCATCGAATCGTAATTCATCTGGACAATCCGAAGAAGATGTAAATTTCGATGGTGGTAATAAATTACATCCTAATCAGGTACAGTTAATAATAATAATAATAATGATAATTAAATTAATAAAATGATGAAATTTAAAATGGGAAAAAAATCGAGAGAGAGAAAGAGAGAAAAAAGAATTTTTTTTTTTTGGAAAAGAAATAGAGAAAAATAGAGAGAGAGAAAAGGATGGGGGAGATAGGGGGGGGAGATGCAGGATAACGAAACACCAAAAAGTCGTTAATCATATGTCAGAAAAGTAAACCGCAGAAAGAAAAAAAGGAAAAACGAATAAGGTTTTCGGGTTTTAAAAAAAAAAAAAATTTTATTTGAAAATAATAAAGAGCGTAGTAGTCGAAACACGTTTTTTCTCTCCAGAAAAAAGATTCCAGTTGAGAGAAAGAGAGAGAGAGAGAGAAAATCATCCATTTATTTCAATATAAACATTTTTCTTTTCATTGTCAGACGAACAACGGCAACAACAACAACAATAACCAACAAATTTTCAACGAACACGATTCATTAACTAAAAAACTTCAAGGTCAAGTTAAAGAATTACGTCACAAGTTGAAAATTTTGGAAGAATCAATAGAAAATAAAGATTATTCATTGGGTACGATGTCCAGGGAAAAGGATAGAGCAATGGGTGAAATAAAAAGACTGGAAAAAAATAACAAACAGTTAAAACGTAAATAATAATAATAATAATCATAATGATAATGATAACGAATCTGTTTCGATCGGAAAATTTTCATTCAATAATTCCAGAACAATTAAACGACGAAAGAAATTACTATCTGGAAGAAAAGGAAAGATTTTGCGAAGAAATGTCGAGATATAAGAAAAAAATACAAAATATAAAAATAATAAATTCTAATGATGATGATAATGATAATGATAATGATGATGATGACGATGGGAAAACAAAAAAAAAAAATAAAAACAAAAAAAAAAATTCTTTTCCGATGGATGGTCCGGAAAAAAGGAGTCAACAATCCTTCAAATGGTCACAAACGAATAAAGAAAAAGGAGATTTTATGAATGTTATCAGTAAAAGTGATAACGTTAAATTATCAAAATCTCAAAGGATAACAAACGATGATGATAATAATAATAATAATAATTTACTAAATCATCATCTGTACAGAAGTTTTTCATGTAGCGATCCGCATTTGAGAAAATCAGAATCCGTCGAAAGTTTTCATTTATACGACGGAAACGATCAATCGTTGTGAGTATTAAGTTTTTTTTATTTTTTTTCTCATCCATTTCCGGTTTATGCGAATGCTTTTCATATAGGTAAAAAAAAAAAAAATGGCGGTTTAGGAAACTGCGTTCGTTCTTTTTAGTACAAACTTTTATACCTTTTACCTTTTTTTTCATTTTTTTTTTTTTAAATATTCTTACTTCCCGTTCCATAATTGGTTTTTATCTTTTAACTGGATGAAGCATGTTTCGACAGGAGGATGGCAGCATTAAAAACGGAAAATGCAAAATTAAGATCGATCATAAGCGAAAGAGATGAAAGAAATTACGAACTTTGTTTGAGATTTTTAAGAATGAAACATTGTAAAAATGATATAAGGACGAGATTTCACGATTTGGAAAATGAATACCTACAGGTACGTGAAATGTAAGAATTTTTTTTTCCCCATTAAAATAAATTTAATGTTTTTTTAAAATAAAAATAAAAAAAAAAACCCACACGATGAGAATCCATATTGAAATTGTGTTGTGCGTGTTTAAGGTCATAACAAATCTAATGGAAAAAATTGACGAAGCGAGAGAAGAATTTAATTTTATAATTGATCAAAAGTTTAAAAAACCTTTGCACACGACCAACGCCATGTACCTTAAATTGATACAAAAAAATTCCAAAATGGCATTCGAAAATGTTTCTCTCCGTTTGGAAAATCAGTGCCTTAAAAAAGAATTGAAAAAATACGTTGTTTACGGCGGCGATTTACCGGAAGTCATGAGGTAATGGAAAATGTACACGCGACATCTACCCGACGGAAATAGTAAACTATTAGTTTTATAAATTTTCCCGTAGATGTCGCTAAATTTTTATATATTTTTTTAAACGTTAGGAAAATCGATAGTCAACCGACCGGGGATAATAACGATGATGAAAATGGCGGCGTTAAAATACTTTGCGCCCCGTCAAAAAGTGAAAGTAAATTAAATAAAACGAAGAAAAATGTCAATTTCAACGAAATCAAAACAATTTTTCAAAGGGATTTATATATAAAAAATTCAGATACGGACTCGACGAATTGCATGAGCAAAACATCGACGGCCGATCAAAGTAACGGAAGTCTAACGGATAGGATAAAATCGCACGAAAGTATATCGACACGTTTGATATTCGATACGGCGACGAACGATAATAAAAATAATATCGAATCGACATTACGTGGGTGCAGTTATAAATCATGGTCAATCGTCAAAAACAAAGGGGGGAGGGGAAAGAAAAAAAAGGGAAAAAACAAATAAAAATAAATTTAAAAAAAATTTTTTGTTTTTTTTTTGTTTTCAGAAACGAATTACTTACCGGACGAAATATTAAATAAATTATTTAAAAGAATCGATACGTCAAGTCATCAAACTATAAATAGTAATCAAAGAATAATCGAACAAACGAGTATCGAATATAAAAATAACGACATCCAATCGAACGATAGTCAAAAAGAATTCACGCCTTTTAATTTCCCATATAAAAACATTGTAGGAAAAACGGACAATAATATTAAAATAATTAAAAAAAAAGACAGACAAACAAACAAAACGGAAACGGATATGAAAAATAAAATGAACGATTCGTTCACGCCGACCGATAGCAAAGAATCATTTAACGATAATATAAAAAATACGTTAAATTATTTACCCGCGAAATACGAGGATTTAATAACCGTTACGAACAACAACAAAATGGCCGACGATGTATACGATTACGTCGACGATGACGTCATAATAGAAGAACAAATGAGAAAAAAACAAATAACGATTCGTAAAAATAATTCTAATTCGTCGAGTCAAAAATCACGTTTTTCAATAACGAATAAATACGATAAGAAAAAAAAAAAAAAAATCGGAACCGGAAATGAATATTCAATACTCGTCGGCGGTGATGCAAACGTTTACAGGGAAGCTAACGGAGTTCCGGTTTGGAAAAAAGACGTCATGAGTTTCGATGATGATAACAAATTGATAATGCCGATAAAGGATAGTTGCGGATTGGAGGAAAAACTCGATTTATCACTCATCGAATTACCACTTAAAAGTAATATTATTATTATTATTATTATTATTATTATCTATTGTTATTATTATCTATTATTATTATTATCGATTGTAAATTTTCTTTTTGTTTGTACAACAAAAGCAAAAGAAAAAAACAAACAAGAGGATTATAAAAATTTTACGAGTAAAATTAAAAAAAAAAAAAAAAAAAAAAACAGAAATGGTACGAAAATGATAAATGATAATAATAATGAAAGGAAATTGTTTTGGAAAGAAGAAGAAGAAGGAGATGATAATAATGATGATGATGATGGAGAAGATGATGATGATGATGGTGAGGATGATGAAAAAAATAATCATCATCTTCGTCGTCGTCGTCGTCGTCATACAAAATCTGGAATTTGCGTTGGATTAAACGAAGAAGAACATGATGGAAATGACGACGATGATAATGATGATGATGATGATGATGATGATGATGATGATGATGACGAAAAAAATTTTAATAAAAAAAATGGTAAGTGGATTAAAATCATTTTTGGAAAAAAAAAAAAAAAAAAAAAAACGAGAGTGAACGAATTAAATTTATTTTATTTTTTTTAAGAGCGTGAAATTCGACGACAGCAGCAACAGCAGCAGCAACCGCAACAACCGACAATCATGACGAATGAAAATAAAATAAAATCTCGTCGACCGGAAGGAAGTAAAAGATTTTCCCAACGTTTGATATCAACAAGTCCAGAACAATTGAAAAATTTTTTAACCGAAACCCAATTAGAGTTTGTATTATTATTATTATTATTGATGGATCGATCCATCGATCGATCGATAAATCGATTAATCGATTAATCGAACAAAATTTTTTTTTACAGAGCTTGTTATAAAATGGCGCCAATAATTGTTGGTCATGCGACGACGCACATGAATCCGGAAATACAATACGACGAATCAAAAAACGATATTATTCTCCAGTTGGTCATTCCAGCAGGAAAAGCCGTTAAAAAACCGTCAAAAAATCAATTAAAAACCGGTTAATTTTAATAAACAAATTAAAATTTCAATTTGTGTCTTATCGCATCGAATAAATATTAAATTAATAATAATAATAATAATTTTAGATAATAATTTGGAAACGATAAAAATGGCGGATAAAGAAACTTCAATGCTGGAAATAATCGGCGGAAATGAAGAAAAACGTAAAAATTCTCAAGTGAGAATACCCGCATCGTGTAATTTACAAACATCGAATAGTATTATCGACGTAACAGATTCTGAAATCCCTGGAAATTCTCAAAATAATAATAATAATAATAATAATAATATTATGTTAAGAACTCTTTCGGCTCCAGGATTACTCGAATCGAGTTGGTTGGATCCATATACGATTTGCGAAATGAGAGATTCCAGCACAAACACTTAAAAAAAAAAAGAAAATTTTTTTTTTTATTTATTTACTGGAATTATTATTATTATTATCATCATCATCATCATCATCATCATCATCATCATATACATAATAATAATAATAATAATAATAATAATAATAATACAAAATTTATCCATTAAATGGAATCGTTCCAAAAACAAAACAAAAAGAAAAAGTAAGTGTTAAAATTTTTTTTTTTTCGAAAAAAAATTCTATTTATCACGTCATAATAAACACGTCAATTATTTTTTTCAGAATGACGTCAACGACGAAGATGATGATGATGATGATGATAACAATGATGACGAGACATCAATCACTACAGTGAATTTAAACGAGAAAAAAAAAAAAAAGAAAAAGAAAAATTTTGTTTTCCATCTCCAGTTGAGAATTTTTATTTATTTATTTATTTATTAAGAGTTAATAATAATAATAATAAATTAAATAAATAATAAGTAAATATATTTATGTACATAAATAATAATTCGTTGTAATAATAATAATAATAATAATAATAATAATTTATTAATCGATCGGAAGAGAGGGAAAAAGGAAAAGGAAAAGAAAAAAACAACAAAAAAATTTTTAATAACGGTTTTTTTTCTTATGACGTCATTTCAGCACCGCCATTAAAATCGTGAAGTTTTATTACTCTATGGTTGTTTTTTTTTTTTTTGTAAAGCAGACGACGTTCAAACAATTGAAAAATAATTATAAAAACAAAATAGTAATGGCGTCGTATAAGGAAAACACACACACTTAAAAAAAAAAAATTTATTATTATTTATTATTTTAAAATAACTTTATGGATAATTATTTATACGTTAATAAAAAGAAAGAGAAAGAAGAAGAGAGAAAAAGAAAGATAGATAGATAAATAGATAAATAAATAGATAATTTTTAATAATAATAATAATAATAATAATAATACTTTTTATTATTTATACGAAAAATTTTTTATTTTTTTTTATATAAATTTTATATTTTTATTTTTATTTATATTTTTACGTGTGTGCGCGGGTGCGTGGTGCGTGGGTGGAATAATTATAAATGATAAGATAGATAATAGATAAAATTATCAAGTGTAAAAAAAAAAATTATATGTATATATATAATAAGAAGTAAAAAGGAAAAAAAAAAAATGAAATCAATTTCTGAACAATTCAACAGACAAGGAAGTAGAAAAAATTATGATAATATTGATTCACAGTATAAACAAGACGTTGGTAAAAAATTATTATTTTCAGGTATTTATTATTACTATTATTATTATTATTGGGGGGTTCGAATCGAATATTTAAATAAATAAATTTTTTTTATTTATTAATAGATTGTAATAATGAAAAAATTTGGAAAAATAATTGGAAAATGAAAACAACGACGAATAACATACCCAAAGATATATGGGGAAGTAATTTCGACGAAGATATATTGACAACCGGAAATGATACGGATGACGATTATAATTTTTATCAACTCGATATCGATTATCCGGAAGAAGAAGTTTCAGATTTGAGAATGTTAACAAATTTAAAATATAAAAAATATAAAAATGTTAGGTTTCAAAATGGCTGCGGCGGCGGTGGCGGAAGTACGGATTTTAATAATTATTTCGATACGTCCGAGGGTAGTTCTTTGGAAAATGATTTTACAGAATTCAACGCAAACGATTACGTACAACGTCAACGTCATCGTTATTCTCAAAACAATCAAGAACATTCTGGAAAATTAATTATGAACGAACAATTGAAAAATTTTTATAAACAAAATCGTAGGATTTTAATGGATCAATCAATGGAAAAAAAAAAATATGAAAAAAGATCTCAAAAAAATAATAATAATTCAGATAAATTATCGAGTTTTTACGAAGGTCCTGCTGCTGTTGGTGCTGTTGGTGGTGGTGGTGGTGGTAATCATCGACCCGTTGATTTGACTCAATTTGATGACGTAATTGGAAAACAAAAAACTAAAAAATTAGAACAGCAAAGATTTAAAAGAATCATGATGAAAGATGGCGGCGGAATACTGGATCAAAATTGTAACGATATGATTATTGATAAAAAACAAATTTGTAAATACGATCAAGATTTTGATTTAAGACAACAACAACAACACCATAGACACAATAATGGAGATTGTTACGAATATCATCATCATCATCAAACAAATGATGACGGAAGGAAAAAAATTTTAAATAAAACACACAAACAGCAAAATTATAAAAATCAACAAAGAGATTCTAGAATTTTTAATAATAATAATAATAATAATAGTAAGGATTGTTTTACTTATGATTTATCACAAAACGATTATAAAAATCATTTGAAATGTGGTAAAAGGAAAACTCTCGAAGCTGTCGAAGAACAACAAGAACAATTAAGCGATTCGACCTATGAACTTTTATGTCCGAAATTTTCAAGTCATACAATGCCGGATGATTTGTTAGAATATAAAAATAATGAGAAAATACGTATTAATAATGATGATAAATCAATGAATCACACGTACTGGACGAGTTGTAGGAAAAATTTTGGTGATAATAAAATGATAAGAACTCAAAGATTACATAAAATGAGATCGAGAAGAACGAGATTGAATCGTTTGAAAAACGGTTGGAAAAAAGCATTCGTGCATACGGGTGAGACATTTTTACAAAAAAAAATTTTTTTAAACGATAAACAAACTTTAAAAATAATTTCGTTTGTTTGTTTGTTTGTTATTGTTAGTCAGAGATGGAAATCGTAACGAACAATTAGGTGTTATTATTATGGGACCGGAAGGACCTGAATTTTACACGAAAAATCAAAATAACGTCCCAGCATCCGATATGGACCATTTTGAAAATAAAAGAATTGATTTACCATCGAGAAGGTTTTTTTTTTTTTTTAAATAAAATTTTCTTTTTTTTTTTTGTAATGAATTATTCTTCATTGTCCGCCATTTTGTTTTTTTTTTTTGTAGTTTCGACGTGATGACGGTTGATTGTAAAAATGTTTATTTATCATCATCGGAACCGAAAAATACAACATTTGGATCATCGAATGATTTACCATGTCCGGAGTAAGTTTTTTTTTATTTAAATTTTTTACTTTTCGGCCGCCATTTTAACGACTCCATATTTATTTGCAGGGATATAACGAACGTCGATGAAAAATTTGAAAATTTTACTAAAAATGTCAGCGAAATTGTTAAATGTTCGGATGAAAAGTTTTATAAAACATTATCGGATAATAAATATAAAAGTACACGTACTGATAAATATCTACGAGAAGAAGAAGTAGAAGAAGAAGAAGAGGAAGGAGATGGTGGTGGTGGTGGTGAGGAACAAGTAGAAGAAAATCAAAATGATGACGTCAAAAAACAACAGGTAATAACCGAAAAAAAAAATTTTCCAAATTTTGGATTTTTATTATTTATTATATAGTAAAGGGAGGAAAATTTTTTTTTTAGATGATGGAAAAAGAAGAAAATATAAGAAACGTTTCTTATCATTATCAAAATAATATGGTATCGAGAGTACCCAAATTGATAAAACCCCCAAGAGAAAGAAAAATAAGCGAAGAATCTAAAAACGTGGCAGATGCATTAAATCAACAAGCGAAGGAATATAAAGAAAATCCTCCGAAAAACGAAGATGAAAATTTTTTAAATTCATTAAAAGAAATAAAAGAAAAATATCCGCCGAAAGAAATATCAGAAGAAACGGCAAATGCTAATTTATCATTATGGGGTATGAGAAATTCATCATTCGAACAACACCAACAACAACAACCACAACAAACAAACGATTATGATGTTGAAATGGAAGGTAAAAAATACGATAATAAAAAAATGACCCAAATAAAATCGAATGAGGTAAATTCTAAATCCACGATAAATTGGACAAAAGAATCGGAAAACGTGTCGGAAAATTATTTAAATGAAAAAAATTCAAATGATAATATAATATCGGAAATGTTTCGAGATCTCGTTGAAAATGGCGGAGCTATATCGATAGAAGAATCTAAAAATTTACAAAATTTATTCGGTAAAGTTTTTAATAAAAATTCTAAAACGAATCGAGCGACGGAAACGGTTCCACCTGCTGCTCCCCCATCTCCTCGTCCTCCCGTTTCCGTTTCCGAAACGTATTCAAATCAAAATACAGGTTTTAATGAAAATTCATCGCCACGTGGCAACACGACGATCGAAGATTACAAATCGAAAGAAAAAAATTATAAAAAAAAAACCGTTGAAGTTAACGAAGCAGACGACGATGACGAGGAAGATGACGACGGTGCTGCCACCGCTACCGCCGCCGGTGCCAAAGCGAACCAAGAAAATGATAAAAAAAATTATAAGAAAAAACATCACCATCATCATCAACATCATGGCGGCGGTGATGAATCCGAAACGACGACGGCATTTTTAAACGAATGTAAATTATTAAAGAATATAAAAGGATACGATAATAATAATAATAATGATAATGATAATAATGGTAATGATGATGATAATGATAAATATTATAAAAAACCACAAAATAGAATGAAATCGAATAAAAAAAAAAATTTTATCGGTGATAAAATGAAAATATTAAGGGATGCATTACCAAGGTAATAACACAAACAAACAAACAAGCGTTTTTGGAACTTAATGATAATAATAATAAATATAATTTCAGCATAGCAGCAGAAAACGAAGCAGCACATTTAAAACAATTAAAAAAATACATAGATAAATTTATAGAAAGAGTCGAAGCAGCAGCACATACGGAATGTAGCAACAACAACAAACGAAAGAATAAAACAAAAATTGATTATTCAACAACGACAAACAGTAGCACGGAGGTTAAAGTCGATGCTAAAAAAATATTAGACATTGTTGTTAACGATCCATATAAAACATTATCCTCTGATGTAACAATAAACATAGCAAAAAATTTAACGGACGCATTGGTACAAGATAAATTAAACAATCACAACAACCACCACCACAACAACAACAACAACAGCAACGTTACAAAAGGAATAATAATAAAAACAAATAAAAAAAATTCAGATTTCGAAACGGATGATGATAAGTTATCACGTTGCGGTGCAACTTCCGGAAGTGGTAAGTCAACGACGGTTCCTAATAATAATAATAATGATAATTTTTTTAATTATTTCACGTTGGGTTTTTTAATCATTTGCGGAATTTTTTACATCTTTAAAAAAAAAAATCAATAATTTATTAATTAATTAATTTATTATTATTATTATTATTATTAATGACGAGAGAAAAAAAACACCACAAAAAACACAAAATTTTTATCTAGATCGTTTTGAAGAAACCGAACCGCCATATTTGAAACAATTGAAAAAAATGAGAAACGAACATTTAACAAATATACTTTTGGAAGTGAAAAGATTAAGCGAACTTTTAAGGTAGGATAATGATAGCAAATTTCTTATCAAAAATTTTCCACCTTTTTATTATTATCATTTATACCCCTCCCCCCTCTTTTTTTTAGGTTTTTAGATCGATGCAACCGTATAAAGTAAATAAAAAAAACAAAAATTTTTCTCCAGTACTTTTTATATATATATATATATACGTGTCATATTCAAATAAAAATATATATAAACGTAATAATAATAATAATAAAACGCGTGCGTTTCATTCATTTCTAATAATAATAATAATGATAATTGTGCGTGTGTGTGAGAGAGAGAGTGCGTAAGTTGTGTGTGTGTGTGTGTGTGCTTGATCGAAATGTAACGTTTATTTAATAAAAATGGATCTTTTTGCACAAAAAAGGGATGAAGAGAGTGCGTAACGAAGCTTCTCGGGTTGAGGGGGAAGGGGTGGGTAGGGGAATAGGGAGTCGGGAGGGGGTGTGTGTCCCGAGTCCTGCGCAATGAAAATTCCAATAGGATCGAGGGGTTGATCCGGTGATTTTAGTGTTTCATTTTACATTTTAAGAATTTTACTATTCGTATTAAAAACGTGGTTTAGAATAAATTAAATTACGGAAGATGATGATGATAATAATGATGATGGTGGTAAAGTGCGTGATTGTGCGTGAGATTGATTAATAAATAAATAAAGAAAGAAAGAAAGAAAAAGGAAAAGGAAGGGGTTGTGATAAGTAAAAAAAAAAAATATTTTTTTTTCTCCCACCCTCCGTCGTCGTCGTCGAAATAAAAAAGAAAGAAGGAAGGAAAAAAGGGAAGAAAGGAACCGGAAATTAACCAAAAAAAAAAAAAAATAGTAAGTTAATAATAAAAAAATTTTCTTAAAGTGAATTTTTATTGCGTTTTGAATAAAAACTATGTTTTTTATTTTGGTAGTGCGAAAGTGCAACGCCGACACACACCCCCGCACGCGCGCACACCCCCGCACACACTTCCCTACCCTCTACCCCCCACAAAACCACCCCCGACCACCACCAACATTAGAATCGTTATTAGAACGTGAATCGAACGCCATTTTTAAAAAAATAAAAATTTCGTTTTTTTTTGTTGCAAAAAATTTTCTTCTCTCATTATTATTATTATTATTATTATTATTTTTTCCGTGAGATTTAAATAAATTATTTGAAATAAATAAGTCATTTCCGGTTACGAATAAAAAATTATTAATGTCATGTAACCTTTTATTGGATAACAACAACAATAACAACAACAAAAAAAAATCATTCACGGTTTGTAATTTTATTTATTATTATTATTATTATTATTATTATTATTAGAATTTATGTATTATTTAATTTATCGTATTATTATTATTATTTATTTATTTATTAAATAAAAAAATAAGCGTGTAAAAAAAGAAAAAAATTCGTTCGTCAAACGTCAAAACCAAATTTTTATTACTCTCATCATTATTATTATTATCTAAACCACTTACGTCAAAATTTTCAAGAGATTTCTTCTGCTTTTATTATTACCACCATCACCACCACCATCTTTTATTGTTTGTCGAGTGGGATTTTTTTATTATTCGTATAATTTATTTTTTTTATCCTTTTATTCTTTTTTTTTTGTAAAAAAAAAAAAAAAAAAATCGAATTCGATAGCAGAAGACAAAAAAAAAACATTTTTTTTTTCGTTTGTTTTTGTTTTAATATTTTCTTTTAGATATTTAATGTAAATACGTCATTATCATCATCATCATCATCATCATCATCATCATCGGAAGACAAAAAAAAAATTTCATTCGATCGTTAATTAATAAAATAAAAAAAGAAAATTTTTTTTTTGTAACGGAAAAAAACAATGGCGATGACGACGACGAATCGGACGCCATTTTTATTTCTGACGTCATACGCGTCGTTGATCGTTTTTTGAATGTAACAAGAAAAACGTTCGAATTTTTTTTTTTTTGTTTTTTTTTTCTTTTTGATTTTGTTCGATGGTGAAAAAACACTTGAAAGGTTTCGAAATTTTCCTTTTTTTTTGTTTTAAAATATCGATCCGAATATTATTTCAAATTGATTAATTTTTTCAACGTGGAATAGAATTTTCCGACGGGAAATCATTTTTAATTTGTTATAATGATGATGATGGTGATGATGAATAAACAAAAGTTTTATCTCACGTTTAAACCTTTTGATTTAACCGATTTTAATTTTCCTTTTATAATTTTTAAAGGTGTGAAAAAAAATGGCGGAAAAAGAATTAAAATCATCGTGTTTGATAACGAGAAGAAGAAGAGTTAGACATCGTGATAAAATATTTTCATACGTTGGTCTTTTAACATTATATTTATTGATTCATTTGGTATTTTCATCATCAAAAACAAACGAAACGAAAATAATTGATGGCGGTAAAAGTACAACAAAACATTCCCAAGCGGAAATGACGACGACGACGACGACGGTTTTACAAACGACGATGACTACGACATTTCCGGTCAATTCGAAAGAGGTAAATAATAACAATTATTTTTTACGATTTATATAAGATTTTTTAAAAATTTTTATATTTTTAGGAAGTAACGGAAAAATTACATAAACACGATGATGGTGTCGTACCAACATGGCGTCCTAGAAGAGAAAATTGTACACCACCAGCAATCGAACAATTTCCGAAACCTTTAATGGGTCCAACGGCAAGAAAAAATGGCGGAATTATAATACACATATTGGTTGCTATTTATGCTTTTATTGCATTGGCGATTGTTTGTGATGATTATTTTGTTTCTTCTTTGGATAGGATATGCGAAGGTTTGGAAAAAAAAAATGTGGGATACCAACATGGAGGATACCAACAACATAAATTTTCTTAATTTCAGAATTAAAATTATCACCGGATGTTGCCGGTGCGACATTTATGGCGGCTGGTTCTTCTGCACCTGAATTAGCAACCGTCGTTATTGGTGTTTTTTTTGCCAAAGATGATATAGGCGTGAGCGGTGTCATAGGTTCAGCCGTTTTTAATATAATGTTTGTTATATCGGTGAGTTGAGGTACCAAGGGGAAAATATTTCAATATGGCGGACAAATAAATTTATATTTTTATCGAACAGATTTGCGCTTTGTGCACGTCAACGGTTTCTTATTTAAATTGGTGGCCACTTTGTCGCGATTGTTTCTTTTACGCCATGAGTATTCTCCTAATGCTTTTTACCATTTACAACGAAAAAATATCGTGGTGAGTATAGAAATAACAAAATGACCTTTTGAACTTTCATTTAATTGATTTTTTTTTCCAAAGGGGAGAATCGTTGATGATGTTACTCATGTACGGAGTTTATTGTATCGTTCTTCATTATAATCCGATTATTGAAAAATGGGCACAAACATGGCCGGTACCTTGTAAAAGACACCCGGAAGAACAAGTATTTAATTTTAAATTCATTAAATTTAAATTTAAATTGAAATTTAATTATAATTATTTTTTTTTTTTTTGGTGACAGGCCGGTTTGGTAACTTATAAAACATTAAACGAAGACAAATCAAGAAGGCCGAGCATAGTACAAAGTCCAGATAAAATTCAATTTGGCGATTTAAACGTTCAATTAGAACAAGAACAAAATCAACAAAATTTATATGCGGATTCAACGAAACCTCAATTGAATACTCCAGATTATTACAAACCGAAAATTCCAGAAGCAACGGAAGTAAGAAAATAAATCATGTTCTTGTTATACTTCCGGTACTTTTAAACGCTATAAAAATTTTTTTGTTTGTTTTTAGACTTCGCCGTTGATAAAACCGACAGAGGGTGGTATTATTGCATTGGTATCTTGGTACCTAACCGTACCTATACATTACATGTGTACTTTAACACTTCCGGATTGCAAATCCGAAAAATATAAAAATTGGTATCCGTTTACATTTGTACTATCAATGATATGGATATCATTTTATTCTTACATAATGGTTTGGATGATAACAATTTGTGGTGAGTTATTCATTATTATTATTATTACTATTATTATTATCATCAAATAATTGGGTTTTAAGGAAGCACGATGGGAATACCGGATACAGTTATGGGTCTTACATTTGTTGCTGCCGGTGTATCAGTACCGGATGCTCTTTCATCATTGGCCGTTGTTAAAGAAGGTTATGGTGACATGGCCGTATCGAATGCGGTCGGATCGAATGTTTTCGATATATTGATTTGTTTGGGTCTTCCTTGGTTCATACAAACGGCATTAATTAAACCTGGATCTCACGTTAACGTTATAAGCAAAGGTATTCGTTTGTTTATTTGTTTGTTTTCCCATTTTCTCCCTCGCGTTAACATTTTACAGTTGAAAACTTTTCCTTTAAGGTTTATCATATTCTACTTTATCACTTTTATCAACGGTACTTTTTCTTATCGTTGCAACACACATGAACGGTTGGAAACTTGATAAAAAATATGGCGTCATATTAATGATATGGTATTTATTATTTATCACATTTGCCAGCTTGTACGAATTGAACGTTTTTGGTAATATGAATCCACCGGAATGTCCCAGTCAATATTAATTTTATTTTATTTTAAATTAATTTATCGACAATAAAAATCATCATCATTATTATTATTATTATTAAAGTCAATTTTTTTCTTTTTTTAGATTCGTTGTGATTAAATACATAAATTAAAAAAAAATTTTGTCTTGCCAAAAGGTATTGTTATTATTAAAAATTTATTTGTTTGCACAATTATAATAATAATAATAGAAATTGATTGATAACAACGAATAAATTATTAATAATAATAATAATAATAATAATCGTTCAATTAAATTTTTTGACTGTGCACACGTTTAAAAAAAATGATGATGATAATGATATTATGGCGAATTTGTATTTAATAAATAAAATAAATGCTCATAATTTTGTGTTTAACACACACTATAAATATATATACGTATAAAAAAAAAAAAGAGGAAACGGAAACGGAAATGTTACCATTAAAAAAACGGTTTTTTTTTTTTTTGTTCTCGCATGTAATTAAAAATTTTTTGCTAAATGTTTTTAAATCAATTTTCTCGTGTTGTTGTTTCATTAAACAAAAAAAAAAAAAACATTTAACTGATAAATGATAAGAAAACATTAAAACAAAATATATAATTATTATTATTATTTATTTATTTTTCTGTTTTGGAGTCAATTTTGTAAAAAAATAATAATAATTAGAAAATTATTTAAAATAATTTATTAAAAAAAAAAAAAAAAAAACTAAGACAATAATTTAAAGCCTTAAACGTGTTTTAACGAATTTAAGCATGTTATTATTATTATTATAATTAAATATTTTACCATTAATTATTTATTATTATTATTAGTTTGTAGTTAATGTTATTAAATATATACACACAATATATATATATATATATGTATGTGTATAGAGAAAAAAATTTATATAAAATTTATTATTATTATTTATAATCGATCAATTAAATTGTTTGGCAGCTTTATTTAAATAAATTTAATAAATATATATATATATAAATATGTATTATGTATTATTAAATTGTTTAAATTAATAACTTATTCGAAAAAAAAACATTATTCAAAGTTCTTATTTAAGACTTTAACATATATTATTATTATTATTATTTGTTTTTTCGGTTTGTGGATTTATTAGTAAGAAACGACTAATATTCAAAAATTACAAAATAGAATACTCGATGTGAAAGATTAAAAACATTTAAAAATTTCTGTTTCTAATCGATTTGATCATATAAAACCAAACATCATTTTTTAATGTTATTTTCTGTTTGTTTGTTTGTTTGTTTGTTGTTTAAATATTATAAATTATTTCAATGTTGTAATTATTTAATCGTGGATAAGAAACAATGAAAACATATAACAAATACAGTGTTATTATTATTTATTTATATTAAAAAAAAAAAAAAATTTTAATTTACACTTTGTAAAATCCATTTGTATTATTTATTTTTATTGTATTTGAAAAAAAAAAATTGTTTGTTTGTTTGTTTGTTTTATACTCTATCGAGTGCTTCTAACATAACAACACTATTACCTCTAATAACAACCATACCTATATTATTATGTGTTCCATTTTTGCATATTTCGACTGATTCATCTATAACCAAATTCATAAACGGATCGAAACCTCTAAGAATTCCATTGACTTGCCTTCCTCCATTTAATTTAACTAAAATAATAAATTATTAATTTAATAACGAGTAGATTGTGTTTGAAAAGTTTGTAGATTTCGATAACCTTGTAGAATGGTAAACAAATTTCACAAATAACTCATAACTAATAATGTAGGTACAATTTTAATTTTATATCGAGACACATTAACTTAATTAATTAGCATTCTAACTACTAAAATATCTTTTCAATTTATTTTTATTGAACCTGTTACAATTTCCCTTGAGGGAATTGTAATAATTTCATAATTCAACATGGTTCTGTTGAAACACATATGAGATAGATAGTAACTAGTATGTAAATTATAAAATATACATGAATATAAAATAACTAGACCCGTTTTGTAACAATCGTACACATAGTAAAGAAATAGTATTAGAAAAATAGGTAGAATAACTTACGAGCTAATTTTTTATCCATAAACCTGAAACAAAACATAAAAAGATAATATTAATACTAATCACATTATAAAGAATAACTAACGTTGAAAAAATTAATAAATAAACAATAAGTAAAGCACTTTTACATTGATTTTAAAAAAATGCTAACCAAACTTGGTTAGAATTAAAATACCGACGATCATGTTTAAATAGAATAAATTTAAAAAATGATGTAAAAAACTTACTTTTTAAGTTCGGGAGGATGAGCTTTACTCATATTTATTAATTCTTATTAAAAAACTTTTAAGATAAATACTGATGTAAATGAAAAACGTGAAACGAATTGTACACTGTATATATTAATCAAAACGATTTTAAATGTCTAACAACGGAATGAAACGAAAACTTCCGGTTTAAAAAACTTAATCATAAAAATCATATGTTATAAAATTTTTAATTTATTTTTAATATTTTAATTTATTAAAATTATAATTATTATTTTTAAATATCATTAGCAACCGAAAAAAAAACTTTAACGTTTTTTAATGTTCGATGGAATTTCTGAATGCCGCTTAACGATTGATTTCCGGTAAGTCGACAAAAAAGCCGCCATATTTTTTATTTAAAACAGAAATAACCGTTAATTATCAATATTCGTTTGTTTGAATTAAGATACAAAAAATTGTGGGAAATTTAAATAAATAATAATAATGATTAAGCAATTTGAAATAAAATAAAATATATTTTATTTATAAAATAACGAAACTAATAATAATAAAATTGAAAAGATGAAAATGAACAAAAAAAATTTTAAATACGTGACATATTAATAATAAATCATTCTTTTTTTTTTAAATTTACGTATATGATAATAATAATTATGTATATAGGATTTAAAAGTCTTTGGAATAATTAAAATTATGTAATTAATCACAGATTTTTAAAAAAATTAAATTTTTTTCCAGGAAACGATCGTTCTCTGACTATCCAAAGCCGTTGCAAATGGTTTACTTCCGTCCGGAGCAACATATTCGTTAACTTGATAATCTAATAACGTTTCATAATTGTTTACGTCACTTCCGATTTGCTGTAAATTGAAAAAAATAATCATCATCGTCATCAGCAGCAGCAGCAGACGACGGAAACAAGGTAAGATAAAATATTTACTTGAGTTAAAGGATTTGTATTTGTCGTAAATATTCCTTCGAAATTTCTTTCTTTACCCAATTTTAATATTTCATCTTCCATGAAAAAAAATATTTCTATCGTTTCTTGTGGTGTTAAATTTGTTCTAGAACCCATCATGAAACTGTGTAGGACTTTATTTATACCGTTTGGTAATTTTTTTTCTCTGTCGTAATTCGAAAAAAAAAAAAAAAACAAGTTGATAAAAAAATAAAAATGTCGGACGAAAGAATGTTTTCGTTATAATTGAGAGAGGATAAAATTTTAAAAAATGTCAACCGAATATTATGAAACGTTAATTTAAATAATAAAATAAAATTATTATGTAATTATTATCCCATCGCGATTAATATAAATCTCTAATCGATTTAAATAAATAAAATAATTTTTTTATTAATCCGTTTAAAAAAAAAAAAAAAATTTGTAATCGTGACGACGTAAATTTACGACATTATTATTACCTCAACGGTTTTTCTAAATATTCCAAAAATTCAAATGTAACGTTTAATTTATTATTTGGATTTATTTTTACTTCCGGTTCGTCGAATGCATCGAAATTTAATGCAACACCTTTAACGTTTCCGTCATTTTTATCGATTGCGACAAACCTGAAAAAAACGCGCGCGAATTTAAATAAATAAATAATTTTTCCCGGGTAATTTTGTCGCGCATTTTTTTCCATTTTGTAATTCTTACGACAGATTTTTATCCAATAAATGAGGCCATAAAACATTCATCAATTCGATAAAATCATCAAATTTAACCGGTGGATTTAAAAGTCTTTCCAAATCTGCTTTTTCGTAAAAACTCGATGCGATTATGCTATGGAAAAAAAAAATTCGTTAATTTATAATCGTCGTGGAATTAGACACGCTTTGTAAACTTTACACAACTCACTCGAAAACATCATTTTTATGTTCTTCTTTTAACATAACGGATTTATATTGTTTATTATTTTTTTTTCCTTCTCCTTCTCCTCCTCCTTCCCCACCACCATTTAAAATCTTATCATCATCATCTTTGGATTGATTTTCTTTTTTTATCATTTTATCAATAATTTCATTCAAATTTTTACTAAATATAAAATCACCTATACCTGGAAAAATTTATCAAACGTGTCGTATTAATGATAATAATGATAAATTTACGTAATTATTAACATACCTAAATTATATCCACGATTTTGTATCATAATAACGGCCATAACGGAATTTATCGAATTTCCACCGAGCGAATAAAAATTCGATTTAACGTTTATCGAATCCCTTAAACTTTTACCCAAAACATTTAAAACGACATCGAATAATATTTTTGCTTTTTCCATATCCTTTTCCGGTATTCCCGTAAAATCCATTGCATTATTATTATTATTATCAATCACCTCTAAAATTAGAGTAAAAAAAAAAAAATGTCATCGAGTAAATAAATAAATATGATACCCTTGGTCTCATTTTATCATATACCCGTTCGTAATAATAACTTTCTTATTTACATAATTTTTTATACGTTTCAGGTACATAAAAATAATGATGATAATGATAATACGTACTCGATGAATAATTTTCATCTTTATATTTAGCTAATAATGTTTGACGATCGATTTTTCCATTGACTAAAAGTGGAAATTTATCGATTATTATTATTTGCGGTATCATGTATGAGGGTAATAATTTTTTTAATTTATTTTCTATTTCCGTTTCCGTTATATTATTATTATTATCAATGTTGAGAATTACGTAGGAAATGACGGTCTGTAAAAAAAAATTGTATAATTAATTCGTGGTGATGAGGATGATGATTTTTCCAAATTTTCCGATTGAAACCTGATCGATTTGTCCGGGTCGATATGTTAACACGACGCATTTATCGATTTCATCGATTTTTAATAATGCCGATTCGATTTCCGATAAATCGACTCTATGCCCTCGAACTTTTATCTGTTGATCTTTTCTACCCTCGTAATAAATTATATTTTTATCAACCCTTGCAAAATCTCCCGTTTTGTAAAGTTTAAAATGACCTGGAGAAGAAATAAAAAAAAAAAACAAAAAATTTTATTTGAAAACAAACCGGAAATACGTTTAAAAAAAAAAAATTACCTATATCCGGTTCGACAAAATTTTCTAAAAATTTATCTGGATCTCTTCCTCTTACATAACCGGAAGCTAAATTCAAACCGGAAACGTATAATTCACCGATTTCTCCTCCTCTAACCGGATGATGATGTTCGTCGAGTATGTAAAGAACGCAATTATCGATGGGTTTACCTAAAAATTTTCCCGTTCGATTGTTTAAATAATAATAATGATGATAACGATGATGATGATGATACCTATGGGAACAGTTTGTCCGGTTTCTAAATCTCTTTCCGTTCTTATTTCGTAATATGAGACGTCACCCATGATTTCCGTGCTCCCGTAAAAATTACATAAAATTTTCTCATTTTGAAAACGTTGGAAAAATTTTCGCGCCAACGAGGGTTGCAATGTCTCCCCGGAACAAACCCATAATTTTAATTTTGGTAAAAAATCTTCTTCTTTCATATTGGAAAACATTAGAATGGATTGTAAAAGTGTAGGTACCAATACCAACCTTTCTACCTGTGGAAAAAAAAAAAAAATTTTTAAATCGAAACCAAAAAAAAAATATCGGAAGAAATTCGAATCGAACCTGATTTTCATTTAATATTTCCGTTAATTTTTCCGGATTTTTGGTTTCTTCCTTAGATAAAATTAATAAGGTACGACCGTTTAATAACGGTCCCCACAATTCGCAAATGGAATCGACAAATGTTAATGCCGTTTTAAAAACGCATATTTTTTCAGTTGCGGAATAAGGAAATGTTCGAAATTGCCATTTTAATCTATTTAATATTGCCAAATGTGAAATTCTTACACCTGAAAATTATTATTATTATAACTGTTTGTTATTATCGTTACCTTGATGATGATAATAATGATAATATACCTTTAGGTATTCCCGTGCTTCCAGACGTGTATAAAACAGCACCGATATATTCGTTTTTCGATGTGTTAGGTTTTATCATTTCGACATCGGATAAATTATTATCCGGAAAATTCGATGAAAAATTTTTCAATTCCGAATATTTTGTCATAGACGTAAATTCATCGCCGACGTCTAAAAATGATAATGATAATAGTTTTAGAGAAACTTCGAGAATGTTCGGTAGAGGGCGTCAAACTCACCGGAAACGTCCGTTATCGTCATGACGGGTTTACTTTCATCCAAAATGTGTTTTATACGATTTTTCGGAAAATCCACATCCAGGGGTAAATACGCGGCTCCCATTTTCCATATGGCAAGTAGAGTGACTATCAAATCGATTGAAGGTTTCATACAAACGGAAATAATAATATCGCCATCGACGTTACCGATTTGTGTATTATTAACCGGAAGTCGTTTAATCATACCTCTCGCTAATTTATTTGATAATTTATTCAAATCCGTAAATAAAATTTTTTCATCGTTTTTAATTAATGCGATTTGTTGCGTTGTGGATTCGCGAATGTTGATCTGTTGTAGTAAAAAAAAAAAAAAAATGGAAAAATCTGTCGTCTGCTACCACGCACACACACATCCTTCCTCCTCACTTATCATACTCACCGAATGTACGATTTTAATTTCGTTATTATTATTATTATTATTATTATTTGTAAATTTTTCAATAACTTCGACAGTGTTTTCAAATATTCTATGTAACGTCACTGGGTCACGTGACGTAACCAATTGTACCTTTTTTCCTTTGACAATTGAATTAACGACACCACCAACTCCACCATTCGAACTCGATACGTAAGTATTCATACCTAATTAAAAAAAAAAATGGACGTCATTCGTTTCGTTATGACTGTAATCATTTCTTTTTTTTTCAAAAACTCACTTTATATTTAAATTCAAGGTGAATAAATTATTATTATTATTATTATTATTATTAATCTCCAGATTAAATTTTTAAAAAAATATATAAACGAGTTTTGTAAAAAAAAAAAAAATGAAAGGTGTCCTTTCTCTCTCTCTCTCTCTCTCACCAACATGTTGTCACCATCGCGAAACGACATCTCATTAAAAATGATAATGATAATAGACA